TTTTCAAATTGATTTGTGTAAAAAACAATTGTGTTTTTTCCCATTTTGGCACTGCTGTCAGAACCACCGCAAGGTAATTTTAAATAGTCCTGTGAAGTTTTGTTGAAATCGGTTGAAAAATGTAAGAAATCCAATCCAATATATAAACATACACACACACACACACACAATCTGCATTTTTTAATAAGTAAGATAGATATATATATATATATATATATATATATATATATATATATATATATATAGGGTGTGATGAGTAAATTTTCGCCATTTATATTTTTAATTTTGCACATGTGCATTGTTTTTGATTTTACCCCCAAAAATAATAAACAAAAACTCAAAATTCTCAAGGCCCTCGCTATCAAAATCAACAAAATTAATAACGAATATAGAAACAACATATTAAAGTGCATATAACATTTAACGCAATTTTACATTTGTACCAATTCTCAGTCAGCTCCTTTATATTGAAACACTTGTTTTGCAAAAACTTCCATGACTACAATGGATAAATTTAAAAATCAGTATCACAGAAGTATGCAGATTTTATAGAAGTTACAATAAGTTTGTCTTTGTAATTTACCCCAGAAGATGATCTTAGAAAAGGTCAAAAGTACTTGAGTTAAAAAAAATATACAGCACCTTCCTTTAAGAATTTCATCTTAACATCAAGAAACTAATTAGACAACTGAAAAGGATCAGTATAAAAACAAGTAGACACAATATGTGTATATAATTCAACGGAACATGTTTGAATAAAGAAATGCTTACTATTTACATTATTTGGACTATTGTCCTCATCTTTGTCACCATATTTATTAAAAACATTTCAGCCGTTCTAAATCTGCCTTCTTCAGGTGGTTGGAATGTCGAACTGAACCCTTTAAGGAAGACTCACTGGCGCAGACTGTTCTAGTTCCACATACCATGTCTAATGGATGTCAGTTATCAGTTATCTCCTGTTAATTTCCCTCTCCAAGATCTCCACCACCTTAACCAGGTATTGAACTCACACTGTTTGGGTCTTGCCACTGGATCTAACTAACACCTTTATCCACTGTGCCATGTGTCTTTGGCAACAAAGATGAGGACAATATTATGTTTCAGCCAAATATATTCTGGGCATCTCCAGGTGTCCATTTTTTTGGCCGATATGGGATACCTATTGATTACTGTGTTATTTAGTCCTTGTGATACCAGTTTTTTCTTCATTCCCGCTGGACCAGTGTTTAACTACCAGATCCAGGGATTGAAATCATGACAATAACACATGCGGTCATGAGTTTAATCTCTGGATCCGTTAGTGAAACAATCTACACTAGTTCAGCAGGAATAAACAAAAACTGACATCACAGTGACAAAATAACACATTAATCAACAGATATCCTATATCAGCCAAAATTATGGACATCTGAAGATGGCCAGAATATAATTGGCTGAAACATAATAATCACGATACAATAGTTTGAATAAATAGTATAAGCTTTGTTAAATCCAACTAACAAGGTCTGTCTGTCCTGAGGATACTTGGTCAAAACATATCTATAATAACATTGACAATAAAGAAAAAGAAAACAAGAGTTTGAATGAATTAAAGCATATTAGCAATAAATAATGAAACAAAACTTGTTTAACTGAGTTCTTGCTATATATATATCAGACCCTGAACTACCACCAGTCAGAATGACTGGATATCCCCTTGATGAAGCACCATGCCTTGAGAGAATATTGAGCCTCAAACCCAACCTCAAGTGAAACCCGTATATACGATCCATCAATAAAGATGCAGGTAAAATGATCAGCTCCCTGTACCGCTCCAGTAAGTACCTGACTCCTCATGCTATCCTCTATCTTCATAAGAACCAGATCGGGCCGAATATGAAGTACTGTGACACATTTATGTAGGAACTGCCCAGTCCTCACAGAGTTCAAAAGCATTTCCAAGTCCTTGTTGGAGAAGAATTAATTTTCACCTCCAACCTCTCTTTTCTCAAATGCAGGATGTGATGTGGTGAATTTTTCACTGCTTTATCACTGCTTCCATGGAAAGTGCTTGGATGAACTATATTCCTTGGTTCCCAGAAAAGGTCTAACCTTCATGGCTAGAACCTGCCATGCCACTTACATAGTAGCAAACCACACACATTCACTCTGTATTCCACTCAAGAAGTTCCAAGCAAACAGCTTCTTCCTGTGAACCACCACCCTGTAGAACAGACTCCCAAGAGAATGTTTCCCTGGTTATGACAATATTAACCTGTTCAAGTCTAGAGTAAACCGTCATCTTCCCCCTCCTACCCGTTAATGTAACCTTCTGCCTGGAGTGGACAGGGTGATCCTTATTGTAAAAATAAAGTACTTTTAGGTGAACTTGATTTTTTTAGAACCATTTATTTTTCGTGGTTAAGTAATTGAAGACATTACTGTTAAAAGTTCTTGGGTATAATTCCTGAAGCAAGCCCCCAGGTATATCCTGTGCTCACTATATATAGCTACTGATATAGTCAATTCACATAGGTGATAGGGAGTGTGGGACATTCCATTACAACATAATCCTATGTAAAATTTCACGTTGTTAATTTTAATGTTTTCAACATACTCTCCTAAAAATACAAAGACATTTACTTTGAGTTAATCTTTACAGTAAAAATAATTTTTATTAATTGGTAAGTTTCATATTATTAGCTTTTAATAAGTGTAAGATGAGAAAATTAATTCATTAATTTTCCTTGAAGTAAAATCTATATTGAGTGCAAGTAAAATGATCAGCTCCCTGTACCGCTCCAGTAAGTACCTGACTCCTCTTGCTATCCTCTACCTTTATAAGAGCCAGATCAAGCCAAAAACGGAGTACTGTTGCCACATTTGGGCAGAAGCTGCCCAGTGTTCCCTTTCCAGTCTTGATAGAGTTCAAAAGCGTCTCTGGGTCCTTGTTGGAGAAGAATTATTTTCCACTTTCCAACCTCTCTCTCACAGGTGTGATGTGGTGAGTCTCTCACTGCTCTATCGCTACTACCATGGAAACTGCTTGGATGAACTACATACTCCGGTTCCGCCAGGTCCAACTTTTACAGCGAGGACCCACCATGTCACTTACATAGTAGAAAACCACCCACATTCCCTCCATATTCCAACAGCAAAAAGTAAGTTCCACTCAAATAGCTTCTTCGCACAAACCACTGCTCTGTGGAACACATTCGCAAGAGGACATTTTCTCCAATCGCTATAATCTTAACCTGTTCAAGTCTAGAGTTAACCGTTACCTTTCCCTCCTATCCATATAAACTACCTCATAATGTAACCCTCTATCTCAAATGGCCCCCAAGAATTGTACAGGGTGAACATTGTTGTAATATATGTGTGTGTGTGTAAAATCCTGATCTGTCAGTCATAAGAACATTTTAGCAGGCAGTTTGGTAGCTTATAATTTCTCTCTGTTATCGGAAAATGTTCAGAAAATAGTTAGCGCCAAATAATTGCGAGGAGTAGCAGTCATGTCAATGAGCAATAGTGAGTAAAAAAATAAATCTTGCCTATATATGTGACTAGGTTCATATACAGTTTTTGTTCTTTGTTTTAAATCATATCACCCTATGCAAGGCAGTAAAGTCACTAAGACACAGGGGGTTACTGAGTGTGAAAGAATAAGTAAAAAGAGAAACATTATTAAGGAGGAAGAACAATAGAAGAGTAATCAAGAAGACAGTAGATAACGATTGACACCGCATTTAAATTTTAGAAGATCAAAGTTGACTGAAAAGCATGGAACTGGAAGAAAGTCCCATAAGCGAGAAGTGTGAGAAAAGAAACTGTTAGCATAGATCATATGGTTACATGTAGCTAATTCAAATGTAAAATGATGAGACCTATCTGCCAATCTAGTACTATCCTTAAATTCATAAAGTCTAGTCTGAAGAATTTATCAGGACAATTACCATGAAAGTATTTATAGAAAAGGCATAGGGAAGCTACATTATAGTGGTGGGAAAGTGACTGAATCCGAGATGCCAGGTCAGGAATAGTATTATTGCTGATTCTCCTTTGAATTTTATCAAGAATCTCTTGAGCAGGAACACCAGACCAGATGTGGCAGCAATATTCAAAGCATGGATGAATGGTAGACTTATAAATATGCGAGACAGTTTCAAGAGAGAATTGTCTAGCAAAACACAGTGAACCACCTTTCTTAGCAGAAGACCTAGCAATGGATTTAATATAATTTTTCCACTTCATGTCAGCCAAGAATGTTAACCCGAAAAGACACAAGTCACTCTCATGAAGGTTAGCATCAGCCATATTGCTGGGAGGTAGGAAGAAGTCTTTGTTACAGCCATACTTACTGCATCATTTTTTTTCCTATTGTCAGAAGTGATGTGGGGATGTGAAAAGTTCACAGCCTGGCCAAGAAAGGACATTAAGAAAAAAAAAAATCTAATGTATGTTTGTTTTCTCAAATTTTTCAGTACCCCCCCCTACAAATATAATCATTTGAGTTGCAAAGTTTTAGTGTATTTCATAAATCATTTAGAAGATTAAACTCAATTTTGGTGCTGCTTTTCTATTAGCACTAGTTTCAGCCAATCCATTCTAAAGCTTTCTTCAGATGATCAATCACCTAAACAACTCTCAAAATAATGATGACATTTAAATTATAGATTGTATCACCAGATTTTTCTTTTCTTTTAAAATCATACCAATGCAGCAGGTTGTACTGGGTAGGTCCCATGTTGCCAGAAGCCTAAGCCTGACCTAAACATTAAAAAAAATTACCTAAGCATGGGTTTGAATCCTGCTTAAGGCCAGGTTTCTTGAGTGTGCAAATCAGTAGTAGCCACTATAAATAATGTTTGAAGTAATAAACAGCTAATATATAACAATTACAGATTATCTGCTGTTTTTGTATATATCTGATGGCATTTCCTCTCTAAATAACACCTTCGGTAAAACAGTTACATTCAGCCATGTCTGATGACACAATACAAAGCAAAATGTTTTTAATATTAAAAAAAAAAAAAAATAGTACTCACCTCTGATGCTGCAACTAATGCCTTTGACAGTATTACCCTAGTTGAGCTGTCACGTGCATAATAAAGGCTTGACACAATCAGCTTAATGTAGATATCATGGCTAGTGACAGGGATGAGATCACAAAAACTGAAATGAAAACATCATATTTTAAGGCTTCAAATCTTTCAGGAAACATATAATCTGGTATTTCTCTGAAATTGGAAAAAATCTGATATTCAATTGATTGATCCATTTTCTATGGCTTAACTTTTTTCCAGGTTATTTAAAGCCACAGAATATTTTAGATCATGAGAATTTTTCAGGGAATAATTAATTAATGATTTGAATCTTTGCTTAGAGGAGAAGAGGTGGATTCATCCCTTTCCCAAGGTTATTTGCACATAAGTGAATATAATGAACCCAACTGGAATTGGAACTCCTGTCTCCAATTAACAATTCAGAGTCATTATCCATTACATCATCAGCACATCCAAGTTTAAAGTACCTAGTATTACCAATCTAGGTACAAGCAAGACTTGATGTTGCTTAACTTTAATGATCATACAGGAACCAATGTTTCAACATGATATGGCTGTAAGCCTTAAAATTCAAAAGATGACCAGACTATTTAACTGGCATCAACATTCAACCACAAAAATGTATTGATTTGTTTTTTTACAGTTTATCAACTTTTTGAAGGTAAAACATTTTTAGATTTTACTGATCTGTTGTACTATTTAACCCACAACTAGGGGGAACAGAAGTGAATCCTCCCAACTAGGTACTGACCAGGCTTAACGTTGCTTAACTTCAATGTCTGTATGAGAACTGATGTTTCAACATGATATGAGCATAAGCCCTTCCACCTCAAGAAAGAAAACGTATATACAAATATGGTTAACATGTAATAGACAAATATAGTAAATGTAATGAATAGGGTTTATAGCATATGCTAGAAAGCCCAGTAATGATAACCATATGTGAAGAGAAAATCATGACAAAAAAAATATTCTCACTGAATTTTCTCCCTTGCAATTTACATTAGCTTCTGTGTTTTATGTATAAAAGGAGGGGGGTATTGCTTTTATCCATAATTTTAATTATATGCAAATAAGGTATCGTACTCTGTAATTAGAATATATCCCTAGAAAACAACTTTTTTTTTTCTTGTTTAGTTGACCCTAGATGCAAATCCCAAGCGCTACAATATTAAAAACACCTAGATTTTAGCATACTTTAACCTTTATCACTCTGTATGTGACTTCGTTTGCTATACAAAAAGTTTATCCTATCACTGAATGTGACTGATCCCTGAATAATAGTGTGTTTGAATTTCATAGTTGTGTTGTCATATCCTGCTATGGCAACAGAAAACAATTTTGAGTGAAATTAACAATAAGGATACTGCAATTGAGAGCCCTTGAAAAAGAATGCAGAGGAAAAGGAAGTAATATTAATAATGCAGACAGAGTGTTAAAGATTAAGTTGGTGTATTCTAGGGATAACTTAATTCAATAACATCATTGTAGTTTACTTAAAAGGTTCAACACAAAATCAGAGTTTTACTATAATATAGATCAGTTGTTCTTAATCTTTTCTTCACCTAGCACTCCATTTCAGATATTTCCCATGAATAAGGCCACCTATGTTAACATTGCACTGGTAAATGGAGCAGATCATTATAGCAACATCAATCACCAGGAGTGAATGGTGGCAGGAACAGCCGAGCAGTGACCACTGGGTCAGATTCTAGAAGCCGCCAGAGTTTACCTTCCTGATTTTTGCACAATATACATCTTGCAATTAGTGCATCTAAATATTTCATATACATTTGTAAATATAAAGTTTGGTTTGGTTTACGGCATATCAACCTCAATGGGTCATTTAATGCCAATAAAATTTTTATTGCTGCTAATATTTTGTTTTGTCAAAAATCTATATCTAGCAATATTTTTGTTTGGTTTGTTTTGGGTTATTTAATACTGACAAAATTTTTATTTTTGGTAATATTTTCTTTTTTCAAATATTTATTGCTGATACTAATTTTTTTTAAAAGTATTTCTGGTATTTAAAATCTATTTTTACACTTTCGTAGTGTTTTGAGTCAGGTTGTAGGTGTTAACTATTTGCCCATAGCTGGGACCCTAACAGGTGCTACAACCCCGGATAAGGGTGGACCTGGGAACACCAGCAATTAAGAGGTGGTTCCACACACCTTAAAATCTCCTGATCAGAGGCCTTACTGTTGGACGTAGTTTATCGTCTTACCCAGGACGCAGATGCAATTTATCGTCATACCCAGAATGCGTAAATATAAAGGCATAAAGATAAACAGATGTATATGTGAAATGCTGTGGCTTGATCGAATCAGAATTCATGGTGTTAAATCATCTTCATATCTGGTTAAAATAACACCGTTGAAATTTTAAGAGTTTATAGCAACCACAAGGGAATATTATCAAACAGTAAGAATTAATGACAGACTAATGTTGAAAATATATATCTAACACAAAAATTTATTCAAAGTAGATTCTAATTATATCGGTTCAAAAGAGATCCTTCTTATATTTAATAAAGTGTCATTTAAAGTAGATTCTAATTATATCGGTTCAAAAGAGATCCTTCTTATATTTGATAAAGTGTCATTTAAAGTAGATTCTAATTATATCGGTTCAAAAGAGATCCTTCTTATATTTAATAAAGTGTCATTTAAAGTAGATTCTAATTATATCGGTTCAAAAGAGATCCTTCTTATATTTAATAAAGTGTCATTTAAAGTAGATTCTAATTATATCGGTTCAAAAGAGATCCTTCTTATATTTAATGAAGGGTCATTCAAACTAGATTCTTATTATATTTAATAACGTTTTATTCAAATTTACAATGTTTTAAATAGTTTTAACCTCTTAATATGCAAAGTGTTGCACAAAATGAAGAATGACCTGCAAATACATAGGATGTACAAACATACACTCTGCCAAATATTTAATCAACACAAATTCCACAGTGTCTTTTTATCATCACTTCAAAACTTACAGACCAGACAGACTGATGTATTCTGACCCACATCTCCACAGGTATCTTCAAATGAAGTTCCTTACAATGAAATTTACTACCTAAAAAAGTGCAGGAAAAATATAATTAGTTGACCAGACATCTTTTTATTTTTTAAAGTTTTACATGATGACCCTGGTTAGTCCAGTAAAACTAATAAGCCTGAAAGGCAATAAAGACAAAATAGAAAAAAAGAAAAAAAAGAAAAAAAAACAAAAAAACAAAAAAACCAAAAAACCAAAAAAAGAAAAACAAATGAACTTCTACTAATGACTACATAAAGAATCATAATTGCTAAAACATATATACAAATCAAAATTCGGATGCTTGCCAAAGAGCTATGGTTACCAATTTAGTCCAATAAGACCGTATGTAGTATAGGAATCTTCAATAAATATCTCCACTATTTTGGCCCTGTACCAGACTAAGCTATATATATATATATATATAGTAAAAAAGAAATCATTTCCAATGCATTTTTACAGTAAAAAAATCATTTCCAACAAATAGTTACAAGCTACAAAGAATAGGAAGTTGTGCAGGTCTACGATCGCCAATGTTGTAAAGAGATACAGCACATAAGATGAACATGTCATGGTCTTTATGGAAACAAAACAAAAAGAAAGAAAAAAGATTAATTTTAACAAAGAATTAATGGAGAATGGGGAATGGACAGTCATGGCTCTCCACAATAGCCTGCCATTTATCTTTTTGTTATCTCTTCTAATTCCAAGACTGGTAAACATTTACACAAACTTCTTGTTCTTCATATAAAATGCAAATTTTATTGTAACTTAATTATGTACAATAATGGATCATACGCAATATAAGTGAACAATTTAACTTTTTTGTGTCATGTCCCTTCAGGATGTAGGCAATAATGGCTCTCCACAATTTCCTGTCCTTTGTAGCTCCTAGTAAATTTTGTCTTTCTTTTAGATATCCTAATCCCTGTTCTGCCAACCATTTATACAAGCTCATTAGGTAGATTATTCACTGCTTCCCTCAGTCACTCTTACCTTCAACATGCCCTGTAAGTGTTAAATTATCTAAGCCTTCTTTCCTCATTATGTTCTTTAGAAATTTCAACTGCCTCTTTCTGATGTTATGTGTCTTTTTTGTTTCAATTAAAAAAAAAAAACTTCATTGCTCACATTTTCAGTTTATGGTATTCTCAGCATCCTTCTATAAAAATCACATTTCTGTTGCTTCAAGTCTCTTCTTCATCTATGATGAGTGTCCAGCATTCACTGCCATATAGGAGGACTGATATTAAATAACAAAGTACTCTTTTCCTTGCTTCTAACAATATTTTCCTGTTTCTTAATACTTTACTTAGCTTTTGAAAGGCATTTTTCACTATCCCAATACACCTTTAAATTTTGATGTCACATTTTCTTTGTTCTGTTAAAATATTTACCAGATATTTAAATTTTTGTACTTTTTGATTTTGGCATCTGCAATTTCTAATTTGCATGCTGAGCTCTTCTTTTTGCTGACAACGATGCATTGTCTTCTTACAATTGATGTTTCCTTTCTTCTCATTTTAAAAACAAATTTATACCAAAATTTAGCTGCATAGATTGTGCGTTGAAGAAATCAAATTTTTAAGAAAATAATTCTATTTAAATATGTTTTTGCAGAGGGACCAAATTTAATTGAAGCCATAAAAACAGCAGTGTAAAAACAAGGAAAATTACATATAAAAAATTACATTACTATAAATCGGTAATTTTGAAACAGCAAAAAAAAAAAAAAGAAAAAAAAAAAGGAAAAAAAAAAAAAAGGAAAAAAAAAAAAAAAGGAAAAAGGAAAGAAAAGAAAAAGGAAAAAAGGAAAGAAAAGAAAAAGGAAAAAAGGAAAGAAAAGAAAAAGGAAAAAAGGAAAGAAAAGAAAAAGGAAAAAAGGAAAAAAAAGAAAAAGGAAAAAAGGAAAAAAA